AGGGTCCCACAAAGACTCTGCGTCTTTACCTTGGCGGCAGGCGTCAGATTGTAAATCGAGAGCTTTTGAAAGAGCCCGTATTCCACGTTTTTGGGCTCTCCAGACTGTAATTTCGGAAACAGCGGGATGGATAAGCCCAGGTATGCGGGAAGTTTCCATTCGAATTTTTGCCCGGACGCTGCCTTTTAGAAAACTTTTTTGGCTATTTGTTTACAATTCACTTGCCTGGATTCTAGTGCTCAACGCGTTTTCCACGAGCAATCGAGTAGTTTCAATGTTGTCGTACAACGTGCCAAGGCGGGATCTTTCTGCTTGGCGCACTAACTTGTAGATATCTTCGAAGGTAATGCGTTGAATTTGCCTCGTGCAGTGATGTAAAGTTTCCTAAAGAAGATCTTTTCGTTATTTACTGTGACAAGCAGTAGAGTTACCTGCAGTGAACTTTGTGGTAGAGTTGCTCCCCTTGCTATAATTGCATATAGAGATGACGTGAATTCGAAACTTGCAATTTCGTGCGATAAACATGCGCGCACTGCGTCTGAAATAAATATGGGACTTACATGATTCAAAAGATAACCTCAAACCTAGTGCATCCGATGGCAGACCAGCTTGCGTGTAATGTGCGAAAGGCAACGAGCCAGCTTCAGGTCTTTCCACTCCTATTAAATGGTGTACATTTGAAAGAAATCTATTCCTAACATATAAATGGGGTTCGGATACAAACCTGGGGCATCTCTCCAGCCGTTCTGGTTCAAAATACTGCTCTCTAAAGCAAACATTATGTTCATAGTTTCCCTTAGTAGAAATTGTGAACCTGGAATGTCTTGTCGTTGTGCAGTATCATCTTCTTGTAATCGTACGGGTTGCAAAGGCGCATACACTTGTGCTAAGCCCACTAAATTGTGCTTCAGTGGTCTGGAGATGAGAAGTTCAAAAGCCTAAGTTAATTTTTACATACGTTGGCTTGAATCTGAAAACTCGCTGGTTCTTTCGATATGAGTTTCAAACACGTTTAATCCAGAGCTTTCAATTGCAGCGGCTGTACTCTAAAAGAAAAGCCATGAATGTAGAATCCAATTAAATCTGCTTTTCTATGTGTTAGGAAACTAGTATGCTCCCAGAACGTAGCAGACCTTTAAGTTAAACGTTAAGAATATATCGTACTATCCTTTGATTCAACCAGATATGCACCTGGGAGGCGAGGTTTCGTGACCTAGTTAGGGCTAGAGAGTGATCAGAAAGCATGCGCGCGGGAGAGACACAGATGGGTGCGGGTGCGAGCGATCACTCTTTAGTCCTGACTAGGTCACGAACTCCGCCTTCCAGCCGCCTATCTACTTGAATCAAAGGATATATTCTCGTAATACTAAACGACAACCTCGGAACACACTAATTAGCAAATTAGATATCACCAATATTCTAGAAAATCATACTTGGGGATGATAAATTGGCATA